TGTCACATCCCGCCACAACTTCTTTAATCAAAGATGTACTTCCTGGGATCACAACCTAGCCAGGTGCAGTGTCCTGAAGGAGGTGCCCACAGGTGTGGCATGTGCCCCAAGAACACTTTGGCTACTGACTTGAGGTGCTGCATATCCCTACTATTAAGTAACCCAACACAGGAGGTGGCCTAATCAGCCTTTGCCTGCCATTGTGCCCTCAGATGTGGTCTTCCCAGAACCACCTGGTTGAGAGGAGTCTTTGGTCTCATCCAGCTTCAAAGCTCTTGCTTAGGTTTTCCATGATGCCCCCAGCCCAGAACTCATTAAGAAAAGAAGCATATTGTGGTGGGCAGAAGAGCAGCTCCACACTCTGGGTTAGGAATGAAGACAAGCTTCTCAGAAGAGCTGAAAGACCAGGGCACTTGCGCACTGAGGCTGCCCTCAAGATTAAAGATTAAATTAAGGAGATTAAATTAAATTAGATTAAAGAGATTAGAGTAACTCTGCTGTCAAGAGTACAAGCCTGTCTGGAAGCCGATGATGTTTGGCTGTCTCAGACTAAAACCCTTTAGGCAGAGCCAAGAAGAGCAAAGAGTCACATCAAAGTTGACCGGGTTGTTTCCATGATGTACTTCCATGACGGTGGTGGCCAGAAAAACAAAAGTCAACCAACTCTGAGGAAACACCTGCTGGCTCTCTCCATCACCAGGTGTTTGCAAGGAGAGGAACGTGGGAAGAAGGGAACCCCTAACCTTAACCCCAATCCCCAGAACTAAGGGAAAAACTGTAACCAATTGGATTTTAACCAGTTGTTAATAACATTATTTTACCATTGTCTATCATCCGTTGCTTGGTCAAGATCATGAGTAGCCGGTCCACTTCAAAGACCCCCACCCCTGGCGTGATGACCACAGACATCTGCCCTGTCCGGTCAAAATTTCGGTTGATGTAATGTTTGTCAAACACTAAAAAGGAGCAAACAGGAGCACAAATTAAAAGGGCACCCAGGGCTTTATAAAGAGCATCCCTTGCACACAACAAAGACAGTCATCTAAAAAAGCGGTCCCCAACCTTTCCAGCTTGACAGCCCAGAGGGAGGGGAGAGGGGATGGTTCCGGGTGAGTAGCAGGTGTCTGCACTGCAAGTAGAGCTGCGTGCACGTGCACCTGCCACTTCTGTGGCCCAGTTCTGAATGGGCCGTGGCCCAGTAGTGGGCCGTGGGCTGGGGGTTGGGGACACCTGATCTAAAATACTGATTCCATTTCCAATCAGTCCTCCAGCCTTACCAAGGGGAGAAAACATGTTTGTATTTGCTGTGATTTAGAACTTATAAGTTATCAATTTGTTTGAAAAACTACTGGGAACTGGAAAGACACTTTGTCCAATGCTCCTTAATACACAGGCAAATTTGCCCACACGCCTTGACCTCCCTTGCTCATCGTTGCCTGCAGAAGACTAATTCAGGAGGCCACATTCTCAGCTCAGGGAGACAATAAGGCAACACTACTGGCCCGGCCAGGCCCAACGGCAGCCAAGCATCAGAATCATCCCCAGAATCTTTTGCAACAGTTTGGAACTTCCTTTGAAGAAAAACCAGCATGGAATTCCCCAAAGAAAGAAATACTGAACGTCGCTGAGGAATCTTGCACAAACCAGCCTATCCTGCCTGCTCTCTTCTTTAAGAGAGCCCATTTGGCCTGGTGGTGAAAGTGGGAGACCGTGAGTTCGAGTCCCACCTTAGCTATGAAAGCCGGATGGGGGACTTTGGGCCAGGTCTTCTCTCTCAGCCCAGCCCACCTCGCAGGGTCGTTGTGGGGAAAATAGGACGGGGAAGGTGTGCTGGATATGTTCCCTGCCTTGAGTTACATGTTAAGAGTAATAAAGACAGGATACAAAGAAGTAAAATAAGACAATGAGGTGATGGGGCCCTTTCTGGTTCAAGAACATCCCAGGGCAAGACAAGAATTTGCCAAACTCACCATTGAAGGAGAGGTTTATGGCCTCCAAATAATTTCCTTGAGCAGAGGTGGCGTTGTATCCTGGTGGAAAATTCTCTAATTGTTCATCATCCAGAACAGAGGGAGGAAGAAACAGAGAAGATAAACCAGGGATTCTTTATTATTATTTTACCCATTGCTCAAAGTTTTAACAATGATGCCTATAAACAATATGAGCACAAAAGCAAGGCCAAAGACTAGTCCCCCTGAGGGTAAGAAGCCGGGGGGGGGGGGGGGGAAACAGTCTTTATGGACCTTGTGGCAAGTGGCCTTCAGACAACCATTTGTCAGAAATGGTATAGGGCAGTGATGGTGAACCTTTCAGAGACTGAGTGCCCAAACTGCAACCCAAAACCCACTTATTTATCGCAAAGTGCCAGGGCTGCATCAGCATTATGGTGTCCTCGGGGGGGAGGTGGGCATGTCCCACTGGGTGGGTGTGGCTGAAGTCATGGCAGACTGGGTGAGCGTGGCCGGGGCCAGTCCCTTGCCATCTCCGGGGCATCCCCAGGGGGGGCCAATGCCGCTTGCTCGCTCACGTCCTGCCCTGTCGCTTCCAAACGCCACGTGCTCGCTACTCTGGCGAACTCTGCTGGGGCAACGGCGCGTGTGCCCATAGAGAGGGCTCTGAGTGCCGCCTCTGGCACCTGCGCCATAGGTTCGCCACCACTGGTATAGGGTTTCCTGCCTAAGCAGGGGGTTGGACTAGAAGACCTCCAAGGCCCCTTTCAACTCTGTTATTCTATATTCTAAGTGAGATGGTGGGCGAGGCTTTTCATGGGCAGCACCCCGCAGGCCAGAGGACCCTTGCAAGGCCAGGGCTCCAGCCAAGAGGCACCTGAGGAAGAAGGGGACACAGCCCTTCACCGTTGCCAAGCCCCTTCCCCACAGCCCCTTCCTTCCCTGGACTTGCTGGTCAGCCATACAAGCTTGCACTGCAAAGGGCAGCCTGCAGCTCCTCAGCCGGAGCAGCTCTGCTTTTCTCACTCCTGCTGCGTAAACTCTACACTGTACCAACTTCTCAGCAGCAGCAGAAGCTGCAGAGTGGAGTCGAACCAGAAGGCCGTATTAATAGTCCTTGACCCACAACCACAACCGGGACCAGAATTTCCACTGCTAAGGAAGGTACTTGGTAAGTGAATCACGCCAAATTGCAACCTTTTTTGCCCGGGCTGTTAAGTGAATTGCTGCAATTATTAAATGGCCATTAAATAAATCCGGCTTCCCCCACTGACTCTGCCTGATGGAACCTGGCTGGGAAGGTTGCGCATAGCGATCACGTGACCCTGGGATACCACAACAGCGGCAAATACATTCCAGTTGCCAAGCGCCCGAATTCTGATCGCAGGATCACGGGGGGGCTGCAACGCTTGGAAGTCTGATGACCGGCCATAATTCACTTTTTTCCAGTGCCATCGTAACTTCAAATGGTGGCTAAATGAACAGGCTGCCCATCACATCTCACCTGCTTTCTCTAAGCGCACCAAAACCGGGTACTGGATGAAGAGCTTCTTAATAGTCACAAGCAGAGAAGTCCACTCCTCCCGGCGTTCATTTTGAACCACAACCCTGCGACGAACAGTGTGAGTGAGTCACAAAGGATGGACAGGCTGAGGCAGAGCAGGAACCCCACGCAGCCTACAGCGGGCCGGGCGAAGGGGGAAAATTATAGGGGGTGACAGAAATCTTAAATTCAGAATCTGCAAGAGAAAAAAGGCTTGCCTTTTTCAGAACCACAGCTTTCTAGCTGTCACGATTCTAAAATAAAAAACCATAAAATGACAAAATAGCACTGCTTCCATGAAAACATCAGGTATGTAAAATTTAGGTAAGTTTTCCAGTTACAGTGTTTTCAGTCGTCTTTGTAAATGTCCAGTTGCAGCAGATAGAGAGGCTAGCTTGGCTGGCATCCACCAACCCGCCTGCATTAAATTTGACCCAGTTCCGAAGACTCCAAATATTTAACAACTAAATAAAAATCACAAAATATCAAAACAAATATAGCAACAACAATAAGTCAGACATGACAAAAACCCGTCGGAACATTAAAGCCACCTCTGCGAGCACTCTTAATCTCCAAAGGCTCTCTCAGAAAGGTGGAACCTTTTTATTCTGCAGGAAAATAGTGGCATGGATATAGACTTTG